TAGTTTTCTGAAACACTCGTGGCACAAAGCGGGGGCACTGTTGAACCACTCCTACCCCAAAAAACTCAAAAAAATTTTTTCGCTAAAACGTTGCCTAAAGATGTAATTCGATGCGCTGATGACCACGAATATCACAGCCGTTTTGAGCGCTGGCATGATTTGGCGCCATATGCGCCAATTTGGCGCCCACCACTTTTTTCACCAAGTCGATGAAAACTTGCATATGGGGGTTAATCACCATACTGATCACGGATATCACATTGGCGCCAAAAATAAATATTGGATTCGTGATTAGTATTTCGATTTAACTCCCCGCATATGTGTGCACCAGTTATTCATCGACTTGGGTTGAGAAAAAGTGTGTGGCGCCAAATTGGCGCACGGTATGCGCGCCAATCATGCCAGGGCGCTCAAAACGGGCTTGTGATATTGGTGGCAAGCGCATCAATACATCTTTAGGCAACGTTTAGCGAAATTTTCTCTAAGCTTTTTTGCCGTAGGAGTGGTTCAAGACAGTGCCCCCCGCTTTGTGCGCGGAGTGCTGTTCAGAAATACTACCTTTGCGCCTACCCAAGGTATGGAAACCATTTATTTGCTGTGCGAGGAGAAAGCATCGGCCGACTCGATGGCCCCAAAGCCAATGCCCACGCGCGCCATCGACGGCACCGAAGAAAATCAAACCCGGCACTGACCGATTCAATGTACCACACTTTACTGCAAAGTCCCAAGTACTTTGGTCGGTGTCGAAAAAAGTAGCTGAAAACCAATGCCGAGCAGAAACTTCCATGCCTCCCGGTTCCGCCAGTAAATTTAGAGCGAGAACCGTGAATCAAACGATGGTCAGGTGTTAACTCGTACGCAAGTCAAAAAATCAGGTAGAAATAAGGAATGCAAAAACTCGGGGCTGCTCCGGGATCGGAACAGCATGATGTGACTTTGAAGCGAGTAAACCTATACACTGAACCACTACGACTCAGATCTTACTGTAAGCAATTCCTCGATTATCCTTCGCAGTTCTACCACCGAGCTCCACCCGACTACACCATTACAAAATTTACCTGCTCATAACTTCCTTGTGGAATGCACGTTGCAGTTTTGCTGTCTATATTTGTTAATAGCCTTATAGACTCTATCAATTCACCTGGGTCTCCTTTTAAAGATCCATGGTAAGTTGGCGGCTTTCCCTGGTAAGTAGCTTGCAATACCAGTTTTTGAGAGGTGTTCCTTTCTAGTTGAGTTTAGAAGCTCATTAGGCGTCGTAAAGTCACACTGCAATTATCTGCGAGTTCTTGCATCGAGCTTTTGAGAGGGAATGATGCAGTCACGTATCCATTTTCGAAGGACACTTGTTCCGAATATTTACGGAAGTATTCGAGGAGGCCGCTACTTTCGGCGTATTCATCGGAAGCAACTCCTAAGCCTTCGAGTTTGAAAGGCTTATTGAGGAGCTCCCGTTCAGTTTCCTCGATTGCGGACATAGTGTAAGAGATGAGTGAGTTTGCTGTGCCCCCATCATTCAGATCAGTGCATCCTCGCCCATACACTATCGGGCCATATATGGTATTAGCTATGCGCAGTCCCGAAGGGGTCCTAAGGGTGCTTTCACTATCAAGAACAAAGCTGTGGTAGTAGTCTAGACCTACTAGAACGTGGGGTACATGGTGGTCACCTCTTATGTTGGGATTACAAACTCAAAGATTTCTCTTCTCAAGGAACTTCCGATCAGCAGTGCCCAATTTTACTGCAGGGAAACCATTCGTAAGGATTGACTTGGCCTGTGCTAAAATTTCCAAGACTTCCATATGCTGTTCCGATCCTTCAGATGTACGATATTGCTTACGAATGTTTCGGTTTTTCCTCCTATTCCGGACATCACACACGTTTCCGTTTTCATGTGGCCCTCTCGAACTTCTGCGTGTCATAATTCCAAAGACATCCTTAGCAGTTATAAGCGCTATTTGCTCTTTCTTCGAATTGCTGATGTTCGTTTCTATGTTGGTGTGATTCTCAGTGATCTCTTTATCAGACTCATTCTCAACAAATTCGGTCTCGTTCTCGGGGCTGTCAACATAATCCCGGTCTTGGTCACGTTCTATGTGTATGGTGATATCATGGCTTTTGCGCTGCTGCGGAGCAGAGTTGCGAGAAAAATGCGCGGAATCATTTGATCGCTTTCCTGTAGCGACGGGAATGTTGTTACTTTGATCGCGCTTCTGGTCTTTGTTGAACAAAGGACTTTTTTGCTTTGGTACCGAAACGCGTTCGTCCGAACTTTCATTCATGAAGCACAGCTTAAGGTCCGTTCTTCCGCATAAGCAGCAGTTACTTCTCGAACACTGGACACTAGAATGCTGGGGAGAGTAGCACTTCCAGCATAGACGTTTTCGTAGTACAAGTCTCTTTTCTTATTTATGGGCAGAGTAGATTGGCATTGCCACGTATAGTGACCGCTAATTTCGCATATAGCCCAAATCTGTAGTGGCCTGCTGATGCCGCCTGCATTCATGTTTCTCCTGACGTCACTAGAGGGAAGTCTCGACTGGATATATGCTTTTGCAGAAATCTCATCATTGTTGAGCTCCATAACTGCATCGACCGTTAGCCCATCGTGCTCCTCAATTTCATCAAAAATGGCTCAACGATTTCTTTAGGAAATTCACTCAGAATGGCTTCCATCCATAGAGCGTCCGTAGTTGATCGTATGTCTTGACCTGTGGAATACATCTGGTTCAGAAATACACTGGTGTGCAAAACTTAGGGACGAGATGGATAAAGTAACATAAAACAAATGACTGGGTTGAAGTAGATGAAAGTGTGGGAGCATGTTGCCACTCGCCTAAGGGATGCGCACAGGAAGCTAGACTTTTCTTGGTGGAAGAAGAGCTTGAAAGTGCCAAATATGGCCGGCCGCGCAAATCGAGGCAGTGTATGGGTATGAAAAAAAATTTTTTCTCTATCAACGAGTAGCTGCAAAGAACTGTGATAGTACCCTTCGATACATCATGTCCCGAAGAGAGCATCTGGATGACTTCACTCGAGGAAGGATCATAGGGAAGCTCGAAGAAGGTCGAACCATGACGAGCGTAGCCCAGGAGTTCGGTATAGCTCACAGCGTTGTTTCACGTGCATGGAGAGCGTTCCGCACCTTTGGTACGGCTGCCCGAAGACGAGGAGGTGGCCCGACGAGGACAACTACACCAAGGGACGACCGCACACTGCACTATGCAGGCAGGCGACGAAAGATCCTGGTCCAGTCGGCCTCGGCTATTTGCAACAGGACGTTTAACAGCACTCTAGGGCAAGCCATCTCACGCACTACGGTGGCCAGACGACTGCATGGTGGGGTGTCTCTCTCGCCCAATGAACCGTTACGTTGTGTTCTTTGGACGCCCGGCGCATTCGGCGAGACCGTTTACCGTGGCTGCCAGGAGCATGGCGAAATGCGACGATGAGGATGGCAGGCCGTGTGCTCTTTTCGGATGGAGAGCAGGTACTGGTCTGAGCAGTTATTCTGGACGCACCCTCATAGTGGCGAGAGGTGGGAAACACGCACTCTCCCGCTCGAAACATTGTCGAACGTGATCGTTACTGCGTGCGTCGCGGTGTTATCGTTTGGGGAGCATCATGATTGCATGGCCGTACTTGACTCCGAGCATTTCTTGAAGCATGGAAACCCTCACCAGTCCGCGTTACTGCGACAGAGGACTCTCCGACATCATGTCCGTCAGTTTTCAGAGCATGCACATCGGCCCTGACTTCATTTTTCATGGGATGACAATGCGCGGGCCGCAGGGAACAGCACAGGCTGGAG